GTTTTCCTTTTTCTTTCTTTTTTGTCTTTTTTTAGTTGGTTTATTTATTTATTTATATTTTTGAATTAGAGTCTGACTCTGTCGCCCAGGCTGGAGGGCAGTGGCACGCTCCCGGTCACTGCAGCTTCAACCTTCTGGGCTCAGGTGATCCTTCTACCTCAGCCTTCCAAGTAGCTGGAACTACAGGTACATGCCACCATGCCCGGCTAATTTTTTGATTTATTGTAGAGATGGGGGTCTTGCCAAATTGCCTAGACTGGTCTTGAACCCATGGGCTCAGGCAATCTTCTCACCTTGGCCTCCCAAAGTGCTGGGATTATAGATGTGAGCCACTGCGCCGGTTCAGGTGGTTTATTTATTTTTTTAACTCTTCCGTAATTATTTTATGGCCTTTACCAGAAATATTTATCTCCTTATACAGGAATATTCATTTGCATAAATGTTACATAATCATGTCTATTTTGCATCTTTATAAGATATATGATCATACTATATACCTTCTTTTGTGGCTTTTTTCATCCAATGTGTTTCTCTGAGGCATCTATGGTGATGTTTATTGCTCTAGTCGATTGATTTTCACTGCGCTCTAGGATTTTGTCGTGTGAATGTATCAGAATGAATTTATTATTTTGAAGGTGAGCATAAAGTATGTTTCCTAATTTTTTTGCTATTATGAAGAATATTGCAGTGACTGTTCTGAGTCTTTTGCTGTACATGTGCAATAGATTCTCTAGGTAGTGAACTTTTTGACTGTAACCAACAGTAAGCTTAAATAGTTTACATTGCACCTCAATATAGTCACACCTGAAACTAAAGTTTTCAGAAATAATATTCACTTGTATTAGATAAAATATAATTTGATCTTTTCTGCTGAAGAAAAGCAGTTGAAAAAAATTACTACTTAGATTCACTTAGTTGGTATTATAAAAGGGTGAAAAACACTGTTAGTCGTTTGAAAAATATGTGCCTAAATGTGAAATTGGATTCATAGAGTATAAGTGTGTTAAACTATTACAAGACCGTGTCTTCCTATTTTCTTAAAATGGTCCAACGCTTGCTTTCTCCTCAGCAGAGTACAGAATTACTGCATATCCTTATCAACACTTGCTGTCATCAAAACTTTGCAATGTAATTGGCAGACAATGACTATAGCTTTCATTTTCATTCAATGAATATTTCTTAAACTCCTACTATGTCCTGGGCACTATTTTAGATGCTTGGAATATATCAGTGAACAAGAAAAACTAAAAGATGACTACCTTCATGAACCTTTCATTCTAACTCTGCTTAGTTGCTGTTTTCTTTCATTTCTTTTCTTTAAATTGACAAATGAAAAATTGCTTATATTCATGGTGTATGATGTGATGTTTTGATATACATATATAGTAGAATGACTAATTCAAGCTAATTAATTTTTATACTTCACATACTCATATTTTTGTGATTAGAATGTTTGATATCTACTCTTAGCAATTTGCAGATATGTATACATTATTATTTATAGGCACCATGCTGTACAATACATCTCTAGACTCTTCTTAGTGTTAATCTCTTTGTTTTCATTTTTAGAAGTTCTGCTATTTCCAAATCTTCCTGACCATTTTTATTATTCTCTTATTTCTAACTTTCTTTAAACCACCTATTGTTGAAGAAGACACAAATACAGAAAACTCCCAAACAAATGTATGATTTATTGTCAGGCAGATATCCTTGTAGTTACTACCCAGGTCAAAAAATAAAACTACCCTTGAAGCCTTCTCCTTGTATCTCATCCCAGTTGTACCTTTCTTCCTTTAAAAGTAACCAACACTGTCCTGGCTTCTATAATACTCAATTCTTGTATTTTTTTAGAGTTTTACCTTATGGATTCCTAAGACTGGTTTTATTTTGGCAGTTTTTAAGATTTGATGTTGAAGACTTTTTGCTCTGCAATTTCCCCTTTATCCCTTTCTTTGCTTTACCATCTCTCTGTTGAGGAACCCAGGCAACTTGACCTATGTGGTCTCCCACATTCTAGATTGCATTCACCATGTTGTAATATGTTCTATATTTTCTCCAGATTAGCTGCTATTTCCAGAAACTCAATCAGGTTCAGTCCCTTTGGCAGGAGTATAGGTTGTATCACATTTTTTTAAAAATAAGGAGTCACATATCTGGTTGTCTCTTTGGTAAAGATAACAGTTTGTGTAGCTCCGTTAATTAATTGAGGTTGTTAAAAGATGAATTCTTGTTTCATTATTTCTTTTTCACTTATTAGTTGGAATGCTTTTATAAAGATATTTTTTCATGCTGGGTATTTGCTTGCCCAGAAGTCCATTTATCTTAGGAAAGGGATGATCAGGAAGTTCAATTCTTTCTCTTTATTTAGCAGTTCTGAAAGATAATGGATTGGTTTCTGTTATCTTCTGATAGCAACTGAATTGTTTTGTATGTTTCAATATGATTATGAACTCATAGATTTAATCATTATGGAGTGAGTTTCAATCCATTGCAGTTATTATCCTTATTGAAACATATTGTCATATTGTCTGATCTTTGACCAGTAACAGTCTCTTGAGTTTGCCTCTCAGACTCTTCTTTTGTAATGACCCTAAAAGTCTTTAATAGTTTCCTTGCCATATGTTTTCTGGAATCAACATTTTATAAAAGAAGCCCTGGCTTCTTTTTTTTTTTGAGTTGGAGTCTCACTCTGTTACCCAGACTGGAGTGTGGTGGCCGGCCTCAACCTGCTGGACTCCGGCAATCCTTCCGCCTCAGCCTTCCAAGTAGTTGCAACTACAGGCGCGCGCTACCACGCCTGGCTGATTTTTGATTTATTGTAGAGATGAGGTCTTGCCAAGTTGCCCAGGCGGGTCTCAAACCCACGGGCTCAGGCAATCCACTTACCTCAGCCTCCCAAACCCTGGCTTCTTATAGTAAGAAATGGATCAGAATGCTAGGAATATGCGATGCTATTTGGGTGACTATAATTTCTAGACCTTTTCAGCAACTGCAGCTTGGAAGTATATATATATATATATATATATACATACACACACACACACACACACACACACACACACACACACACACATCTGTATATCATTTACACACAACTACTTAAAGATAAAAACCTCATGAATTCATATTAATACTTCAGGTTCTGGAATTCATATGCACCAGAGTTTTTACTTCAACTCTTCTATATTATATCTGCATATCCTTCCTTCCACACCCAGAATCATGTGTTCAAGGAACACAGGGCATGATACAATAACCTGTAATTTACTCATTTGCTTTATCCTACATAATAAACAACAGTCTCAGAATAACAAGGCTATTACTACCACCACTGATACGATTCTGGGAAATAAGCATCAGGTATATGTTTTGCAAGTGTTCTCTCCATTCTCCCCCTTCCTGTTTTTCATAATTATACTGTGTATTGTCTGAACTTGTAGGAATTGCATAATATACTCTTTCCTTTTTAACCCTCATTTAGTCTGAGTATTATGAATAAGTATGCATGTAGCACTCACTACCATCCTTGTGTTCCCTAGTCATTTTGGTTGTCTGAAACCTACTCTGAAATAGATAATATAGGAAGGATTCATTGGAACAATAATTCTAGAATTCCTACCTATTGAAAAGTTTGCCTGGAGTCTTTATAGGTGAAATGCAGTTTTACTGGATAAAAAAAATTTGATTATATTTTCTTTTCCTTGATTGTCTTTGATATTTTGCAAGATCCTGTCTCTTTAAAAAAAAAAAAAACAACTGTAGTGTTTGTCATAAAATTTGTCTGACATTAAATTTAACTAAATTACTGATCATGCTGTTTAGATTTGAATTCATAGTTGGTATTTGCTAAGTCTGTTCATAAAATATCTATAGTATAACTTTTGATATTTTTAAAGACTTAAACCTCATTAGAAACAGGGATAATTATTGCCATTAGTAGCCCAAATATATAATAACAAGTATTGAGATGACTTTCTAAAATATATACTCTTTATATTTACATATACATTTGTAAAACATATATAAAATATACATATTGACATTGCTTACAGATGAAAATTGCAAGTAAAATCTGAAATATTTATCATTTAAAATGAGAATAAATATGACACAGTGGCATTATCATTTGCACTAAGGCTTCTTGCCACATCCTGTTTTTATATTTTTACAAGTTTGAACCAAATTATAGTGCTTTGACCTTATTAGTACATGATTTAAAGCGTGTTACGTATATATTATGCATATGATAAGCAAACCATTTTGTCTAGAGTAGAGCATTTTAGTCATGTTACAGATGTAGTCTGCCTTCTGATAAATGAGTTTTGATGTTTTTTAAATAAATTAGGATGGTTTCATTTGAAAGCATTACAAAATTTTTGAAATACAGTCAGTTTTATTTGTTTGTTTGTTTTTGAGTCAAGGTCTCACACTGTAACCCAGGCTGGAGTGCAGTGGCACAGTCTCAGCTCACCACAGCCTCAACCTCTTGGGCTCAGGTGATCCTTCCACCTTAGCCTCCCAAGTATCTACAGATGGACACCACCACACCCGGCTAATTTTTTGATTTTTTTTTTTTTGTAGAGACAAAGTCTTATTATGTTGCCCAAGCTGTTCTTAAACTCCTGAGCTCAAGCAGTACTCTCACCTCAGCCTCCCAAACTGCTGGAATCATAGGCGTGAGCCACCACGCCTGGCTAGTCTTAATTTTAGAATGCTAAATAGAATTTTATATATATGTGCATAATTTTGTGATTTTTTAAAAAAATTTATACCATGAAAACCATACTTGGGAAGCTTCACACTTAGGAGTCTGCTTAATGTAAATAAATGGCAATGTAGGATTACGCAGCCACAGAAAAATATGCTACAAGTAGCATCTTCTACAGTGCTTGATTTTAGAGCTTATCTATTCTACCAAAATGTTTTAACATACAGCCAAAAGCATAAACTTTTACAAAGTAAAAATTATAGTGATGTTTATTTTAAATTTGTATTTGCAGGTAAGCTTTTGGGTTGTTAGAGAGATTCTTCATGCTCAAACATTAAAAATTAGAGCAGAAGTCTTGAGCCACTATATTAAAACTGCTAAGGTAAGAAAAACTTCTGTTTTCATTTTTTTAGATCAGCCATTCATAAATGTTTGCAGATGAATATTTGCCTATGATAATTTGTTTATTATTTATTGATGCTGGAAAAATAAGGCCTGTTGATTATAGAAGTCAGTTTTTTAAATTGGATGTCTGTTTTCTGTCTTTTCCTTAATTCTTCCTATTTTCCTGGTGTTTTGTTTTGTTTTGTTTGTTTGTTTGTTGAGTTGGAGTCTCACTCTGTCACCCAGACTAGATTGTATTGGCACACTCACGGCTACCTTAGTGGTGACTTGCTGGGCTCTGGCCATCCTTCCGCCTCAGCCTACCAAGTGTCCGGAACCTAGAGGCACGCTCTACCGTGTCTGGCTAATTTTTTTTAATTTATTGTAGAGACGAGATCTTGGCCAAGTTGCTCAGGCTGGTGTCGAACCCGTGGGCTCAGGCAATCCACTTGCCTCGACTTCCCAAAGTGTTGGGATTACAGCCTGAGCCACTGAGCCTGGCCTTCCTCCTCTTTTATATCCTTCTCTTCTCTGAGTAGCTGAGTTATGTGATCTATTTCACTGGCTTAGTAGACAAAGGTCAGATTATAGCAGGGTGTGAAATTTATAAAGTATTGGACTATTCTGCAGGTCATGGAGAATGCTGTATAGGATTGAGTAGCAGAATACTACTTCGCTTTCTGGAAAAAATCACTCTGCCAGCCATGTAGTAAATAAGACTTTATTTTTTAAACTATAGTATATATGATGTTAGCACATATGTTAACTGAGCAGTTATTGTATGATGTAGATAATAAATGGAGTATGGATTTCAAAGATGGTCAGAATTTAGAGAGAGAATAGACATTCCACAAGAGAATACCAAGATTTTATTAAAACCTGTAACTCCAAATTTATGTTATAGGGGTGGAAAGGGGGTGAGCCCTTCCCTCTTCATCATAAAGGATGAAGGCCAGTGCCCCTATAACTAAAGATAGGTTAACAAGAAAAAAGTATAACAGATTTATTTTGTGCACTTGTGTGCACAGGAGTCATGCAAAATACCAACTCAAAGGAGGGCCAGATGGTTGTTGCTAAAATATCCTCTTCAGTGGGGAGAGGGGAAATCTGAAGGGATGTGGGGCATGTAGGAACAAGTGATTTTCAGGGAAAATTAATGAGCCCAAAGAACAATGGCTTGGGACCAAGTTTCAGGGCTCTAGAGGAGGTGGCACCACAGGTTATGGGAGAGTGAAGGGAGGAAAACATGTCAAGCAAAGGTTGTTCTATTATGCTGATGAAAATACCTCAGATGAGAGCAGATGGTGGCCTGTGGTTGCATTAGTCTCCCTGGATCTAGACAAGGGAGAGAGGCTTTAGAGAAAGCCTGGTTATTCATTTCCTCAGTGTAATTTTCTCTACAGATGTAAATCTCCACAAAAGGCAGCTTTGCAGGGCTATTCCTGCCTGCAGACCCTCTAAAAAGCCATCTAGAAATATGTCAAAGAAGTATTTTTTGAGGTGAAATATTTTTGGTTTCTTTGAATGTTAAGTTCACTAAGGAGTATGGTAATTTTAGCCATATTCATTTTCCATTACTCTTGTAGTAAATACATAGTTTATCTCACGTGTGAATGAAAGTAGAATAAAATGAGGATATCATGTTTACAATTATTGCAAGTCATATCTCTTTCATACTTTTCTTGAGCACATGGGAGCAACTGTATTCTTACAAATTCTGTGGCAGTAGGTGGTAGAGCTAGCCTTATACAAACTTGATATTTTGTAGAAGTACCATAAAGTTTTTTTAAAAATTCTTTGTGATATGTTAGGTAAATATTGATCTTTAATAGAATAGAATTATGACTCTTATTTTTAGATTCGTAATTTCCATTATTGTTTCTTGATATTTTTGTTAGTTTTTAAAATTTATTTCTATGTTTCACTCAGAATCACTAAATTTTACCCATCAAACCTGGCACTATCCTCTCATCAAGCACTCATTTAATTCCAGTTCAGACTCTTAGACTTTGAGTTATTTTTGGTAGCACTTACCTTCATGCGAAGCACTAAATTCATAATTGTTTTATTTCTCATTACTGTGTCTTACATCCCTCTATTCTGACTCTCTGCCTTCTGTGTTTACTTTGTTAGAAAACTGGCAGGTTTTTCTGTTCCTTTGGTAGATATGTCAGTATTCTCCAGAGAAACAGAAGCATAACTTTTTGTATAAACGTGTACAAAGAGATTTAAGTATAAAATATGTAAATAGAGCTGAGGAATTGGCTCATGTGATTGTAGGGGCTAGCAAGTCTGAAATCTGCAGGGTAGGCCAGCAGGCTGGAAATACAGGCAGGAGTTTAGGTGGTAGTCTTGAGGCAGGATTTCCTCTTTTCCAAGAAACCTCAGTTTTCACTATTAGGCCTTTCTGCTAATTGAACAAGGCACACTCATGTCATCAAGTGCGATCTTTTAAAGTCAACTGAGGAGATGTTAGTCACATCTACAAAATATCTTCATGGCAACATAGTTTAGTAGTTTAGTGGTTGATTAAATAACTGGTGCTATAGTTTAGCCAAGTTGACACACAACACTTAGTATCACGTAGATACGGAAGATTATTTACAAAAATATTTAAGGTAAATAATCTTCCGTATTAAAAGAATGATAAAGTGGGTACCCATGTACTTAGCCCACTTTGAACTCCCATATGCCTCTTCATATGCAATTTCCTTCCCTTCTACTGCAAAGGGAACCACTCCCCTGAATTTTAGGTTTGCATTTCTTTTATAATTTTACTTTCTCTATATATACATTTATTCTCTCTCTCTACACACACACACACACACACACACACACACACACACACACAAACACACACACACACACACACGTATAGTTCCTGAATAATATATTGTTTTGTATTTTGCTTAAATTTATTTCATATTTACTTTTATACTTTTTTTTTTACTCAGCAGCGTTACTTAATGGTTTTGAGAGTATCTCTTTTGTAGATTATCCTGTTGTTTGCATATACCACAAATTATTCAGTGTGTATACCACATGCTATTGCATCACAAATTATCTGGTGTATATACCACAAGTCATCTAGTGTATGTACTGCAAATTACCCGGTATATGTAGCGCACGTTATTTGGTGTATGAATCACAAGTTATTCTGTATATGTACCACAAGTTATTCAGTGTACTGTAGTTTGGATTGTTTCCAGGATTTTTCTATTATAATCACTGCTGTTATAAGCATTCTTTTATAAATCTCTTTGTGCTTATGTAAGTGTTGAAACCCTAGAAATTTCATACTAACGGTGAAATTGCTAAGCCATGGTGTATACTTATCTCTTCAACTTTGTTTTCCAAGCTGATTGTACTAACATAGACTCTCAATAGCAATGTATGAAAGTACCTGTTGCTCTACATCAGAGGTCCTCAAACTTAAAACAGGGGGCCAGTTCACTGTCCCTCAGACCGTTGGAGGGGCGGACTATAGTTTAAAAAAAAACTATGAACAAATTCCTATGCACACTGCACATATCTTATTTTGAAGTGAAAAAACAAAACGGGAACAAATACAATATTTAAAATGAAGAACAAGTAAAATTAAATCAATAAACTTACCAGTATTTCAATGGGAACTATGGGCCTGCTTTTGGCTAATGAGATGGTCAGTGTCCGGTTCCATATTTGTCACTGCTAGTTGTAACAAGTGATGCAAGTGTGCATCAGTTAGTCTAGATCTGGTTGGAGATTTCAGATGTTTCACTCTGGAAAAAGTCTGTTCACAGACATAAGTGCTGCCAAAGATGGTTGCCATTTTGAGTGCATGGTTCCTGAGATTACTGAGAGGAGGAGTCCAGAGACAGAGAAGGAGGGGAGTCGGAGAGTGCGATGCACATTCCACACATGCGCACTGTGGTCCGGTCGAGTTAGCTGCTAGGCAGGACAGGCAGTGGTGTCAAAAACACCCAGTGGGCCAGATAAATGTCCTCAGTGGGCCGCATGTGGCCCACGGGCCGTAGTTTGAGGACACCTGCTCTACATCCTTGTCAACACTTAATAATTATAACAGTTTTTTCTTGTTGTCAATTCTGTTGGGTGTGAAATGTGTATCTCTTTTTTTAATTACCTTTTGTTGAATCTGATCAGAGTGAACATCTTTCTATATTGTCCACTTAGGTTTTCTCTCCTGAAAGTTCTGTTCAGAATCTTTCAGCAGTATTCTACTGTGGTATTGGTCACTCACTGATTTTTATAGTAGCTTGATATAACTCTAGATACTAGTTCTTCTATGCTTTGCATACATTTTACTATTTATAGCTTATTATTTTTTCATCCTATCTTTTTTACAGATATTCTTAATATTAGTAGTCAAATTTATTAATCTTTTATTTCTGATGTAGTCTGTTTGGTTGCTATAACAAAAATACCATAAACTGGGTGGTGTATAGGCAACAAAGATTTATTTCTTACAGTTTTGGAATATTGTGAAGATCAAGTCCAATATTAAGATGCCAGCAAATGCAGTGTCTGGTGAGGGCCCATTCCTCATAGATTACACCTTCTTGCTGTATCTTCATACGGTGCAAGGGCAAGGCAGCTCTCTGAAGTCTCTTTTGTAAGGACAGCTAATCTGGATCATGAGGGTGGAGTCAAAGGCCCCACTACTTAGTCACCTCCCAAAGGTGCTTTTATCACATTGGGGATTAGGTCTCAAAATAAGAATTTGAGAGAGAGACAAACATTCAGACTATAGTAATTAGTTAATCTTTATTAACTCATTTAAGAATATGTCATTTAAGAATTCTTATCCTAACCTATGAGAATATCAAAGATAATCCCTTATATTATTTACAAGTTTTAAACTTTGATTTTGGTACATGAGTACTTAATCTACCTGGAACAAATTTTTATATATAATATGGACTAATATATATAAAAATCCATATGTATCATGTCTTCAAAAATGAAATAATTATTCTGGCATCATTTTTTAAAGGCTTC